AAATTCACCAAAATTGCCCAAAATTCACCGAAATTACCCCAAATTGACCCAAATTCCGGAGATTTGTGGGGAAAAGGGACCCGAAATTCCCCAAAATTGCGAAATTTGAGGGGAAAGGGACCCAAAATGACCTGAAATTCCTGAAATTTGCAGAGAAAAGGGACCTAAAAACCGCCCAAAATCCCAAATTTTGTGGGGAAAAAGGAGCCAAAATTCCCCAAAATCGTGAAATTTAGGGAAAAGGCGCCCGAAATGTCAAAATTGAGGGGAAAGGATCCAAAATTCCCTGAAATTCTGGAAATTTTTGGGGGAAAAGGGATCTGAAATTACCCAAAATTACCCAAAATACCCCAAAATCCCAAAATTGAGGGGAAAGGGACCCGAAATGCCAAAATTGAGGAGAAATGACCCAAAATTCCCTGAAATTCTGGCAATTTGTTTTGAAAAGGGAGACAAAATGACCCAAAATGACTCAAAATGACCCAAAATCCCCCAAAATCCCAAAATTTGTGGGGAAAAAGGAGCCAAAATTCCCCAAAAATTACTCAAAATTGAAACAAAGAGACCCAAAATCCCGAAATTTTTGAGGAAAACGGACGCAAAATTCTCAAAATTGAGGGGAAAAGGGATCAGAAATGCCAAAATTGAGGGAAAGGGACCCAAAATTACCCAAACTCCTAAAATTTGGGGGGAAAGGGACTCAAAATGCCAAAATTGAGAGGAAAGGACCCAAAATTCAAAAAAATTCCAGAGATTTCTGGGGAAAAAGAACCCAAAATCCCCCAAAATCCTGAAATTTCTGGGAAAGGGGACATAAAATTCTGGAAATTTGTGGGGGGAAAGGAGCCAAAATTCCCAAAATTGAGGAAAAGGGACCCAAAATTCAGCGAAATTCAGAAATTTTTGGGGATAAGGGACTCAAAATTCCCAAAACTGGGGCGTAAGGACCAAAAATTCCCCAAAAATCTGGAAATTTGTGGGGAAAGGACCCAAAATGCCAAAATTAAAGAAAAAGGGACCCGAAATTCCCAAATTTAAGGGGAAAGGACCCAAAATTCACCAAAATCTGGGCAATTTGGGGGAAAAAGGAGATAAAATTCCTGAAATTTGTGGGGAAAGGGATCTGAAATTCCCAAATTGAGGGAAAGGAACCCAAAATTCCCGGAAATTTTGGAAATTTGTGGGGAAAAAGGAGCCAAAATTACCCAAAATGACCCAAAATTTGAAGGGAAAGGAGCCAAAATTGCCCAAAATTCCAGAGATTTGTGGGGAAAAGGGAACTGAAATTTCCCAAAATGACCCAAAATTGAAACAAAGAGACCCAAAATTCCACAAAATCCTGAAATTTTTGGAGAAAAGGGACCCGAAATTCCCAAATTTGAGGGGAAAGGACCCAAAATTCCCCCAAATCCTGAAATTTCAGAGGAAAAGGACCCCAAATTCTGGAAATTTGTGGGGAAAGGGACCCAAAATGCCAAATTTGAGGGAAAGGAACCCAAAATTCCCTGAAATTTTGGAAATTTGTGGTGAAAAGGGAACCAAAATTATCCAATATTACCCAAAATTAACCAAAATCACCCAAAATCCCAACATTGAGGCAAAGGGATCTGAAAATACCCAAAATTGAGGGAAAGGGACCCAAAATTCCCCAAAATCCCAAATTTTGAGGGGAAAAAGGAGCCGAAATTCCCCAAAATTCCTGAAATTTG